ATCTCGCATGTTTGGAATGCGACACATATGTCGTGGTCCCCATCCACGACATTCAAAAAGTTACACTAAAACGGTAAATAAATTTTTTCCTACACCAAAGCTGGCATAGTGTAGTCAAACTACACCATGCCAGTAAATTTCCGTTAAATTGGAGATAACAGAAAATAGAGGCTTAAAATAATGAGATGCTAATTGATACTAATATGGTGATAATATGTTACACTAGACAAACCAGCCTATAGGATTAGGAAACAAATTAACAAATATAAATAGGAAATAAGTCCATAGGATAAGTGAAGAGAACTTCTGCTCACAAAATGCAGTTGTTAACAACTTTTACTTTCTGGCTCTCTTCTATTTCCAAAGAAACATTCACTCATAAAAAACTAAGTATTGTTGTACAGTAGCTTGGTAAAAGGTATCTTTGTGAAAAGATGATAACACATTTACCATTACTGCCACTGACATTTGGAAATGCACCAGTATAACTTGTAACATTCAGACACATCTACTAAGGTTCGTGACACATTTCTGCACTCCACTAATACATGTACTACAAAAACACTAAGAAACATGCTAGCCACATTCCCTATTATGGACATCCAACAGCAATATAGCTATTTGGTCGGGTAAAACTGAAAAGAAATACCACACAATTCTTGAAAAGGACAAAGGCTAGGTCCTTCCCAAAGCATTTTTTTTTCTTATTTTAAAAAACAAAAAAATGCTTTTAAATTTTAATCACAAATCTCTGCGCATTAACCCCACCCCTTTTGGCACGACCTGCATTTCCATTTCCCATGTTCATTAGCAAATGGTTTTCCATTATAACGGTAATATCAATAAATGAAGGCACAAGCACACAGAAACTTCAGAGCTAAAAAAGAAGCATGCTCACCACAGCAACTGAATCAATATTATGGATCATCCTTCCTCGTCTTCTGAATGAGCTACACTTCCTGGAATTGTCAGAACCTTCACTTTCACAGTATCCTCCATCCCTTCTGGAATATTTAGCTCCATACCAGTATCCCCACCACGAGCCGATTCTAACTCTGAAGTAAAAAAGACAAGCATATAGAATTGTTAGAGCACTTAGAAAGACAAGCACAAAACACAGAATTACCCAAGGTCAAAATAAAAGGTCACTTTTACTTTTGAATAAGACACTCGTAATTATTCTGTGTAGAGTATTATGCTACTATGTATTGCTTATGCAAATTTAACCCAAGAACTAGATTGTCTGGTGCCTCCTAAAAAATCATAAATGGTATATGATTTAAGGCTCAACAAATATATTTTTTCTCAAACAATAAAACAGATCACAATCTGAAACAATAAAACTGAATGGCAACAATATTTCACTTTTCCTTCTTACCACTGTGGAGTACTATTTGTATGCGGTATATAACAAAACGCAGCATTGAATCTACCTACACCCTTCTTTTCAGAATAAAAAAACATGTGTTCTTTCAAGTCAGATTCTTATGAAAGGAGGAAAACATGAAAGGAGAGCAAATAGATTGGTTTCATTCTCATCCTCTTAGATTGAACTATTTGAATCATGTTAATGTCCTATATCATGGTTGTGTGTTACAACTTCCACAGAACCAGCATCAAAGTCAACTTCATCTCATTTTTTTTCCTTCTTAAAATCATCACCTCTCACCCTACTCATCCTCACATTCCTAGGCTCCAATTAAAGAAAATTATCAATCAATATAACAAAGAAAAAACAATACCCTTTTTGCTAAAGCTATTTCTAGGAATAGGGGTTACAGTAATTTGTGAAGAGTGGCATTCAGATTTCTAAAATTTCAACAAGTATTCCACCCATCTTAAAAAGCATTCAGATTTCTATAAATTCGTCCTTCTCTTTCCATTATTCCCACATGAAACTCCAATACAAAACCAAAACCTAAAAAAATACACACATTTTTTTGTCCCCCGTTTCATAATAAACTGAAAATTAGAAATAGATATGAATTCGTTTGTGTAAAACTCACCCTCCTTTTTTCCTAAGATTTCCAAATGAAAACTCCAATGCAAAACCAAATAAGAAAAATAAAAAAGCACAAATTTACATTCACCCACTACATAAAAAACCAAAAATTAAAAGGAAGTATGAATTTTGATCGAAAATTGAGAATAAACAAAACAAAATATAAAAAGGGGTGATTGATATTTGAATGATGAAACCTTGAATGAAGAATTAGAAGATGGGCATCCCCGAAGAGTAGCAAGGGAAAAAGACTCTTCATCAGACAAATTATGAACAAAATCAACAACGTTAGATGGTGTAGTCCTAGGTGGGACCAGAAAGAAGAACCAGGAACAAAAGGAAGCCAATCTGGGGTAGCTTTCTTAACAAGGATTCGTTGAATGAGTTGGTCGAACAATTTGAGGAACATCATATTCACCACAAAGGTCAACCTCTATGAGTTGACTTTGTTGTGGTTTAGAAGATCGGTGACGGAGGAAGAAGGTGGTTGTGGCGGTGTAGAATGGGAAAAGGAGTGAGAAACGGTGGCGTTTCGGAAGAAGAGTTTCTTTGAGAGAGAAGCGAGACATTTTTGGTGAATGATGATGACATGAAAGTAGGAAAAGAATACATTATCCACCCACGCCATATTTTTTTTATACTACCACTACATCTTACGCAAGAGTATGGATGAGTTGGGTCGGTATGATTTCTCTATTACCCGATCTGAAATATTGGTTGAATCATTTTTTTAAATTTTTACTTGATTTTAAACGTGAAGGTAACTTAACATTAGATATTAATCGGTTCAGCTTTTAAATCTGAATTCGACCCTAGATCTAATTAAATATAATATATACTTATTTTAGATAATATATTCTCAATATTACATATTCTTCGGTAGGTGTAATTTGACATATAAAATGATATATGTATACATATATTATTAATCATGTATATATGATGAAAAATTGAAGAATCATTAATATTTTTGACCAAAAAGATGTCATTACTCTTATATAATTGAATATATATACATACAAACATGATGAATCGGTGACCATGAGGCAGGTCGGTTTGGGTCTGATTTTGAACATGAACTCAGACCTAAACCTGACACTACTTGGACCCAATCACGATCGGGTTATATCGGGGAGTGAATAGGGTCAGATCTTTCTCACCCCTAATATTCATCATAAGAATTTTATAGTATAAGTGTCAATCTCATAAATCTAACCTTTAACTTTTTATCTTTTTTATGATAAGGATAATTTTTCCTCTTAAAATACTAAACATATCCTTTCTTAATTTGTAATAAATACACCCAAATTTTCAATACAAAAATTAGGTCTTATTTAGTCTCTTAAAAATATATTATTATATATATAAAGAGGCGTGACTCCTTGGTTTAAGTTGGGAATAATTTTACTTAAGTCTTTTATAAATTATTAATGTTTTTGAGAAATATCCAAAAATACTCATTACCTTACTCCATAAAAACAGATATACAATATTATGGAATAGGAATAACAATAAAAACTGAACTATGAGTATCCGCTTGAACCCAACTGAATCTAATTGGGAATAACTGATATGAAAGGGATAGGATTTTATATGAGTATAATTTTGAGGTAAAGTTCGGATTTGTTAAAGTTAAGACTCTATCCAGAACCAGCTTCGAAGTAATGTAATTGAATTTGTAATTGAAAGTTCTATCATGTGTTCATTTTCTTAATTTCTAATTTAATTTGACATATTATTGGTTCTTCAAACATAAAGAAATGAAATAATAGAAGAGAAAAATGAAACTGAAATGAAATGATATTGTCACTCTCCTTGATTGCGTTTATTATTTTTGGCTTCCCATCAAGTTCGGTTACTTGAAACCCGGCGGGTTCAAGGATGATATCTTTATTTTAACCTCGTTGAGTTCGGGTTCTGAATTTCGGGACTGGATAAGTACAAATCTGACTCTGATCCACCATGTTGTCATGCCTAGCAGGGGGCAGCTCGCTGACATAATATTAAAAAAAGAATTTAAATTAAAATAAAGAATGATGTAATATGATATACTCTAATTAGTTCAATTTTATAAAATTGTTTTTAATTTGTTTGTTTTCTAGAATTGTTTTATTAATGAAATTAAAGCTAATGAATGCGTGTGTTTTAAATAAATCTGACCTATAAATTCACCTATAACTTTTTAACCTCCTCATAATAAAGAACAATCACAATGGAAAAAAATAGTTCTGAGTATCTAAATAATTAAAAAATGTGATTCTATGACAGAAATATTTTTACAAAGACAAAGATATTTACAAATCTACTCTAGAATGATAAGAATAGGTTTTTTAATTTAAAAATTTACAAGAATAGGTTTTTTAGATAACAAATATTAATGACTTTAAATATAAAAATAATGTAATACCCATACATAAATGACCAATTGTCTTTTTTCTAATTTTAATTGTTTTTATTTATTTTTTAAATATTAAAAAAAGGCCTGACAAAATTAAATAATTGATTTTGGAAGAAAGAAGAAGATAGAAGGTAAAACCATAAGAATTATCAAATCTAGTAACCCCTAGATGAAAAAAGGTTGGTAGTAATCATGAGGGGGAAAGAGAAAAAAATAATATTTTATAAATTAGCAAATTTTTTGAACAAGGGAATAAACATTGAGAGAAACCATTTTACAGAAATAAAATAATGGACTAAAATAAACACTATTAAGACAAGAGACAAAAATAACACTTCTTCATGTAGACACTGTTTTAAATTGCGTTTGCGGTCACGATTGCTGTAATGGTTGTATTTATTGTGATTATGATCATTGAGGTTGTCGCGATGCGAATTGCAGCTGTTGCGGTGTGAGTTATATTGTGATTAAAACAATATTTTAAAATCTGTTGTGGTCTAATGCAGCTGCATCATTGTGATTCAGTGTCACATCACAATTGCAGTGTGATGCGGTTGCGGTAGTCATCGCAAACACATTATTGTGGCTGCATTATTAGGTGATGCGGTCTACAATTTAAATCATTATGTGAACGGAATACGAGTATTTACATATTTATCTCTCTGAGAATATTGCAAAACATTGTTGGAATACTTGAAATGAAGTTAAAGAAACTCATTTTTATTTCACTAAAAAATGGTAACTTCCAACATCTATTGACCTCACATCCCAGATAAAAGATTGCTAATTTTCTGAAGCTCCTTAAGAGCTAACATAGCAGTAACATGGCCTTTGCCTTGTTGGTAAACAGATTCAATTACCTGCATGGCAATAACACTCATTAGGATAACAAGTATGAACCAAAGTTGAACCCAAAACCAAGATAAAGGAATATACATCAGCTTCATTTCTAAACCATTTCATGTAAAAATCAAAGTTCATTCAACCATTTTTTCATAATTATAGATAAAAAATGCAAGGGGGGAACAACTTCAATTGTAGATATCTTCACTCACTAGCTTGTCATTGAGTTTGAGAGTAATTGTCAGAAAGAATATTACCTGAATATGGTCATGCATTGACTGTCCAAATTCTTCAAACTACTACCCATCATATTCTGCTCTATGCAGCTAACAGAATTATCATGCGCATTTGCGGTAGAAGATGCCGGTGTGATGGAGTATTACTTTGGTTACTAGAGATGTTAGCCGATTTTGCAGCCTTCGCAGCACCGCCTACTTTATCGAAGATATAGTCAACAGTTTCCGTCCGAACTTCAATACCCACTGGAGTTTATTCTGTTTTCTTTCCTTAGGATCCGAGGCTGAATTTCCTTCATCGTTGTCATTGGACCCTGATGTCTCAGGTATGTTCTCAGGAGGAACAGAGGTTGGCACAGGTGGATCATTGAGGCTGGTTTGTGAAGTTTCATTGCATTCAGAGAATACAGAAAAGTTGTCCTCACTGCCTGTACTTCCACTTGGACATCTATCATCAGACGAGTAATTGCTGTCGTCTTTACGGTCACCATCTTGTCGCTCCTCTTCAACTACTACAGAAAGATTATCCTGCTGGCACAGGATTTCATGACAGTTTGTTTGTTCTGCATCTTCCTCCAAGCCAAGGGTCTTATGAAGATCTTCTAACAAACTGCGCCTAACAGATGCCTTAGGTAACCTTTTGGCACTTTGAATCCTTGATGGAGGTGGATCAGATTCTGTTCTTCTCAAACCGATCTTGACCTTTTCTGTCCATCTCTTTTTCCGAGTTGGAACCGATATTTGTACATCATTGCTTACTTTCTTCAGTATTTTGGGCAACTCTCCACTTATCTTCCCAATAGCTATCGGGTAACAAATTCATAGGCGTTTTTGGAGATGCAGATTCGGATAGAAGGGTCACAGAACTTGAAAACATTGATTTACTTCGGTGATGAAACCCTAGAAACAGTGGTGAAGATGATGAAATATCAACACTTAATGCAAGAGCCTGCAAGGATTTAGCCTTTTCTAGTAGTTTTTCAAGATTGATGCCTTCAGGGAAGTTTAACAATCTCTGGAGACAGGTTGTAGGATTTTCAGTTGCAAGGAGTGAAGATCTTAAATGAAGTAACATTGCTACAGCAATAGCTGAGATAAATGCTCCACGAGGTGAATGTAAGATCCGGAACCTCCACTCTATGTCGTCATCAGCACTTTTTTCCACTTTACTATTATTATCTGATGCAAAGATCTCATCCCAGATGATCAAGAGGTTGTCAAGTGAAAATTCTCGTCCAAATAAAACTCGCAACCATCGGAGAGAGAAGTACTGAGGTTCAACCCCAAGATCCAAAAGGGCTATGTAGAGATGAATCCACAAGAGATAACAAATGATATAATGCAGTAGAAGCTTCAATCACAGGGGAGAGGCCACTAAGGGAGTCAGCTACCGGAGAGGAAGAGAAGAAATTGGCCGTTGCAACTGAACCGTGGGTCATTAAAGCATCAAACATACAGAAAGCATCATGTTCCATAAATTTCTCCGATAAAACAATACCCAGTTCACCTTCCGCGCCATAAGCATCACTTAGCAATACAAAGGTCTGTATCTCAGGATCAAGTTCATCAAGACAGTTCATTGCCTTTCCATGGGAGTCAGTTTCATCGTCCAACGAGTCATGAGATTTTTGAAATTCAAAGTTGTAACAAAGATCATTCTCTTCACATAAAAGTTCATCAAATCTGTCTGTGAAGAGATCTTCATAAAGCTTTCGAACTTCGGAAAGACTCTCCAGATCAACTTGGAGAACATAAAGCAGAGGAGCAAGTAATTCGTGCATTCCTATAAAATAAGGGAATGAAAGGAATTCATTAATATAAAATCAACTATTTTCATAACATAATACCAAAACAAAACTAGAAGACTTATTCCAAATGAAGGTTAATTTACTTAAAATTGTATAGTATTTGCCACAATTGCTTGGATTAGAAATTTACCTTGTCTATAACCACATTCTGGGTGCTTGAGACACCAAAAGTAAAATTCGTCTCAACATTCCTTGGCATCCTGGTGTCTGGAAATAACTGCCATGCTCTGGGTATAAACGTGATAAATCCTGAACAACAATTCTCTTTATCTCTACACAGTGAAAAAAGCGACTCCATGAACTATCTGCATATAAAAGCCACATTATATTTTTCACAGATGAAACACAATTCATACCAGCAAGAGACAGAGATGGCTAATTGTAAGATATCTACTTGATAGAATTCCAACACAAGGACAATGCATGCAACAATTTAGTTTTTCACTTATATATCCTCTGCCTTTTATACCATATTTTTTATTGCCACTAATTTTTAGTTTAATCTTCTCATGGATTTAATTTCCATTAAATTTGCAGGGAGCATGACTAAATTCCTCAATAACAAATTAAATTTTATAAAAACTTGGAAAACAGCAGCGATAAGGTTCAAGTTAAGGCAACTCAAATATACCACGTTATGAGGCTCTAGTTAAGGCGACTGAGGAAAAGTCGAAGACAGTACACATTAACATTTCAGATATCTAATATGCTCTCTACCTTGTAGGAATTTAGGAAAGTATAATGGCTGAATCAGGGATCGGTAACTAGATATACATATCTGCAGGCGAGATACTCGCATGACGGAGTGATAAAACAAAGTTTACCTGGATTTTGTGAAAGGGGGTTGTCCATGACAACATCGTCTGAACTACTTCCATCCTTTGCTATATGTGTTTCAACCAGGAGTTGCCTTCTTAAACTGGCATACCTGACAAGATAAGTCATGGTTTATGAGTACTACACTTGAAGTGAATACAATTACGACGAAAAATGCCTGTATCAAACAACTTGTCTCTAAAATGCCACAAAACACCGAAATCATAAATTAAGCAACCATGACAATCTACACTACAGGCAGCTACCGAAACCGAAGGGAAAAACAAAACCATATATACTACATTGACTAGACTTTGACTTCAATTTAACTTTAAACGGAGGAATACATCCCAAATTCACATGTCACCATTTTATCAAATGAAAGGGCTAAAAATCCCTGTTTTCTGCATGATTTTGTAACTGCGTTCAAGCAAAATCAGCATACTATATATTATGCTCATCGGCGCCATGCTTTTTAGAGAACAATTAATCTGAGTAAAACCAGAAGACTCACAAAGAGGACAGAGCTCTCCCAACACCTATTAATCAAACTCCAACCAATGATGACTTTACTCAAAGGAAACAAGTCTTCCAACCACTCAAACCAATAAGTGTGTAAGGAACTAATCTTTTTTGGGTGCAAGATATACACCCAGTCCTGACATGCGACCCCTCCCGGGCCATGAATACACTGAGTGTGTCATTTCACCAGCTTAAATACCCCCATGGGCCCGGAAGGGGTCGCATATCAGGACTGGGGTGTTAAACTACTCAACCAACGTCTCGTCGGTTGTTGAATTTAATGAATACAAAGATAACATAAAATTAATGAAATTCACATCACCGTTATTAAAATTAACAAAAATGAGTAAAAACATTATCACTGAGATGATTTACCTCCTTCTGGAATCAGCTGTGGCTCGGCGAAGATCATCAATTGAAGATGAAGCTGGCAAGACCCCAGATTTATTCGCCATTTCAACCCTCTAAGATCACCGAATCGCTGATCCTCACATCTCCGGGAAACAGAGTCAGAGCTCAACGGCTGAAGTGACGGTGGCAGCAACAAAGGATCCTCCAGAGACGGCGGCATGATTTTCCAGCAGTTACCCACCAAACCCCAATTGAGAAAAGACTAGAACTTTCCAAAAGAAAAATAAAAATCAACAAAATTTTCTTACGCACTTGAAAAACCCTAATTTCTTAGGAAGTAACAGGAATAAGAAAATTCACCAAATTAAGTTTGAAGGTTAAAGAAGAAGAAGAAGGAACAAAATTTATAGAGGGAATAAAATTAAGGTGATTACAATTTGTGAAGATAGACTCATGATTTCCACATTTCAGTGTTTTTTTCTTCTTCTCACTCTCACTGTTTATTATATCTTTCACTCATAAAGTTGTTGTTTGATTCATGATCAATCACACACAGATATTTTTTTCAATGTAACACTTTTTTTTGATACATCAGAAGAGGAAGAGAATCTCAAATTCTAACATTACAATAATTATTTTGACTAATTTATGATGCCATATTAAAAAGGTATAGTAAATATTTATTATATATCATCTTCATCATATGCTTATGTATGAAACAACAAAAAGATGAAAAGAGATAAACTATTACGGAAAATGAGAAAGATTTGGTTTGAGACAACTAGTAAATCCATTTGCAGATACCCTATCATTATTTGACACGCTATGAATTTGTGGGTCCTACTATACCAAATCATTAAATGGGAGATAAAAAGAAAGGAAAGAGAAAGACTTGAGGGAGAGAGAAAAATGGGAAATATATGAACTAATTTAATGAGACTCACAATTTAATGACGTGTCAAACAATGATTGGATATTTGCAAATATGATATGTTAGAGTTGTCTCCAACCAAGTTTTTCTCTAATGGAAAGTTGCAATGTCCAAGCAATGATGTTAATGTGTTGTATTTGTATTGGTTATTTGGGATGATGGGTATGATAAATTGTCTTATTGTGCTAAAATTCTAACATCATTTTGTGGCATTTCTCTTACTACCATTATTTTGTCTTGGGAATTCAATATTATAGCTTTTATGAGATTGGTAGTTGTTTTTTTAATTGATCATGAAACTTGATAATATTTTTGTGTCACCTTCCTCTAGTCCATGGTGGTTGCCTTTACATTTTCATATCCAATTTGATTTCCTTTATTTGGTGCTTCTAACTCTAGTCCATGGTGGTTGCCTTTACATTTTACTCTTATATGAAGAACCCATAATAGTTTTTATTGAATTAAATGAGTATTGGATGTAGTTTTTACTCTAATATATGATTATTATTATTATTTGATTTTTTCTTAACCACTCATACTTATATGTATTACCAACAAGATGTTTTGGTCTAGTGTTGTAAAATTTTGTTGGATCCTCAATTATCGTATTAGTT